GTGCCGACAAAGTCAGGAAGGGCAAAAACCTTTAAGCGACGCTCCAAATTAAACGGTGGGCGGCACAGGTGCCAAATTCACAGGTCACATGTCCCGGTGTTTGACCATTAACATATGGTATGCTCGGCAGCAGAGGGTGCGGAATGCACGCGCCCGGGGCGAAAAACATGTTTTGAGGAGGCATCCTCCGATTCCGGAAAACCTTGACCTAGGCACACCAAATTTGGCACACTGACACGGCTGGACGAGCGCTTTAAGGCGCTGTACAAATAGATGTGCTGGGGTACACGGTGCACGTGCTGTGCACGTGCAAACCTTTTCACGTTGCACTCTGTGTCACATATACGGCAGAGCGGGTAGCGCTAGCAAGCTCAAAGTGCCAAATTTACACAGGCCATCCTGAATGCATTCCCGCATAGTTATTGAGCATATCCATCTCCTGGTGGACCCCGAAGGTGCGCTCTGCACGTGCAAAAAAAAAATGTCCGCGCCGGGCGGTGGGGATGCTTGGACAGGGACACCCCATGTGGATTTATGTAAATATCTCGACAACGGCGTTGTGTAGCGCCGCCGTTTTTGGCACACCTTTTCATACGTCTTTTTCACACATGCTGCGTAACTTTCAGACTTGGGTCACTCAAGGTTAGGTCATCAGGTTACGTGAATTCGGGCTCCAAAACTTTAAGCTACCCACAGCAACGCAAATTTACGCTACCATCGCCCGGTAGCGCAGCATAGGCATCTTTGTTTCCACGTTGTTTGCGCCTGTAGTGATACTGTACCGCAATAACCATTATCTTCATCTTTCACCCATAGATGGCAGTAGCAGAGCGCCTGTATCTATGCTGTGCCGCAGTGCTTTTACAATACGAACTGAGCATTGAGCAAGCGCGGTGTAATACGATTATGTGGTGGCCTGGACGGTGACCGCGGCCAAGAAATGGTTCTAACTTGACTGAGTAGCGGTAAATCAGCATCATTAATTTATTATCACGAGACCATGTTTGGCCGGAATCGCGATTCGGCGTATGTCGGCTCGCATTAGCCGCGCGTTTGCTGTCTTTTCGTGGTTTCAAGCGTTCAAACATGTGATATAGGTAATGTTGGTCACATGCAATATGGTGGGTGTCGAAGTCACGTGAAAATTAGGTCAAGGTCACTGACCTTTAATGACCTTGGTTCACCTTTTCGAGTTTTACAAATTACATGTTCCTAGGACAATTTTTGGAGCTGATTTTGAATTTAGCATTCAATTTAACATTTAAGAAGTTATAGTTTTAGTGCCTTCGTATTGTTCGTAATATGTTACGACGCCATCAGTGGTGGTTGACACCTACTATGGATAAGCGGCAGGACACCTACTGGTTGACCTGACCTGACCTGACCCGACCTGTCCTAAATGCATGAAAACATCAGCTGTGATCAAAACAAACATGACATTCCTGATTAACGACCCGTAGAACTCGCAACAACCTCAATTTACGAAGTTGAACTAAACATACCAAAAGTGTTTTTAGCGCTCATGCATGTCTCTACCAAAGGTTACTGTCAAAATGTTGTGGAGGGCTATCATGACCTGAAATAACCCCAGGACATAAGTAGAAGTCACAGGTACAATTTCCCGATTAAATTTGTCACGTTTCCCTGCTACCCGTGTCCCGTTATTTGAGTGCATTGTTTAGTATGTTTAATGAGTTTCGTGCAACAGAAGCGCAGTTTAATTGTCTCCCATTGACTTACCTATAAAAGAAAGGTCGCAAAATCAACAGAACCCTAGGCATAGGCGCGGGAGCCGGGGGGGGGGGCAGTGGGGGCAGCTTGCCCCCCCCAACTCTGGGACCGTGGGGGCGGTGCCCCCACAGCTTTGAGACGGAATACCACACTTTTTTGCAAATGTTTTCTTTTTTTGTTGAAAAAGCCGAGGGATGAAAAACAAGTGGCCTAAAACCGGTGAGAAAACTAGATTTGGGGGTACCCTAGGTTGATCTCTATTATGGTGTGCCCCCCCCCCCCCCCAGTCGGAAAGTAGTTCCCGCGCCCCTGACCCTAGGCCATTGACAGTGAAATTCCGAGTTAGAGGTACTTTACGTATATATTGTGCTCTTAGTAATCGCTGCCAACGTTTTAGACCGATTGCTCAGTCTGTGTAGCTATGACGGGCACTATAACTTTTCCTAAGATAAGGTCACTTGGACGTAACCTGATGACCTAACCTTGAGTGACCTAAGTCTGAAAGCTACGCAGCATGTGTGAAAAAGACGTATGAAAAGGTGTGCCAAAAACGGCGGCGCTACACAACGCCGTTTTCGAGATATTTACATAAATCCACATGGGGTGTCCAAGCATCCCCACCGACCGGCGCGGACAATTTTTTGCACGTGCAGAGCGCACCTTCGGGGTCCACCAGGAGATGGATATGCTCAATAACTATGCGGGAATGCATTCTGGCTGGCCTGTGTATATTTGGCACTTTGAGCTTGCTAGCGCTACCCGCTCTGCCGTATATGTGACACAGAGTGCAACGTGAAAAGGTTTGCACGTGCACAGCACGTGCACCGTGTACCCCAGCACATCTATTTGTACAGCGCCTTAAAGCGCTCGTCCAGTCGTGTCAGTGTGCCAAATTTGGTGTGCCTAGGTCAAGGTTTTCCGGAGTCGGAGGATGCCTCCTCAAAACATGTTTTTCGCCCCGGGCGCGTGCATTCCGCACCCCCTGCTGCCGAGCACACCATATGTTAATGGTCAAACACCGGGACATGTGACCTGTGAATTTGGCACCTGTGCCGCCCACCGTTTAATTTGGAGCGTCGCTTAAAGGTTTTTGCCCTTCCTGACTTTGTCGGCACGTGGCACGCGCCACGTGACACCGAATGACCTGTGACATGCATCATCACCTGCCTGAAAGCATTACCCGTCGAACGGTACCACCAGCATCTCGATCCGATTATCCGTTTAGACGCAATTCCAATTGTATTGGCTCGATGACCTTTCAGAGCACAGGTTTTTGGCAACGTAATATGGCGCCTTGTCGGCTTCACCTGAATGGAGGTGGTTGCGGGTCCAGTTTATTTATACGTCCGTGATGCGACGGCCTTATCTGGCATACAAAATATCTCTAGAAGTCTCTAGCTAGTGTTAAGCCTATGGACTTATAGGGAAATGTATCCGAGTACTTGGTACTGCCTCCTCCAGGTACTGGCTGGCAGACCGATCAACTTTGGAGGCCCACCATTTGTTGCCGAAGCGTCATTATTCTTGTCCTCAGGTTAATAGATCTCTAAAAAGTTAATTGTTTTCAAAACGGGCTTCGCTGAGGAAAACTAAATATTATAACCAAATATTTCGGCTTTATTGATCAGCCTTGTTCACTGGTTTGAAATACATTTTTCTCAAAAAACATGACCTAAAAATTCAAATATTCATACCGTGCCGTCAGTGATGACGATCCCCTAGCTTACGAAAAACCGAACAAATGAATGGTGGTGAAACACATTTCAAGGCACACTGTAACAGGCAAACGCACACATGTTCCTATCTCAACGCAATGTCCCAAATAGGGCTGATGGTGACCTTTCCGACCCCCCTGTTCATTGACGAATTGTGCACCTTAATCTCCAGTGCCTCACGGATTGTCCTACGCTTCCAGTTTCTTTCAACTGCCAATGTTTTCGCGTCTCTTGGATTTAATGATTTGTTGCATGAGTAGGCATGCTGAGCTGTTGCTGACGTGTCTGTGCGACCATGTTTTAAATCAGCCACGTGCTCCTTCATTCTGGTTGATTTTGGACGTCCACTTTCTCCTATGTAGGACTCACCGCACTCACATCTGATCTGATAGACGGTGCCTTTTTTCATCTCAGGTGGCACTTTGTCCTTCACCTGCATTAAATGGTCTCAAAGTGTTCTTGACTTGTGTCCCGTTTTGATGTGGTGCTGCCTCAAAAGTCTTGCTATGGGCTCACTTAACCCCTTTACGTATGGAAGCGAAATGTATGTTGTGCGGGTGACCTCATTTTGATTGACTGTATCCTGGTCTGTGTCATCTTTTTGTTGGTTTCGCACATCAAAGCCCTTTTTTATCACGTGGCTAGGATAGCCGTGTTGTCTGAAAACAGTCCAAAATCAACCAGAATGAAGGAGCACGTGGCTGATTTAAAACATGGTCGCACAGACACGTCAGCAACAGCTCAGCATGCCTACTCATGCAACAAATCATTAAATCCAAGAGACGCGAAAACATTGGCAGTTGAAAGAAACTGGAAGCGTAGGACAATCCGTGAGGCACTGGAGATTAAGGTGCACAATTCGTCAATGAACAGGGGGGTCGGAAAGGTCACCATCAGCCCTATTTGGGACATTGCGTTGAGATAGGAACATGTGTGCGTTTGCCTGTTACAGTGTGCCTTGAAATGTGTTTCACCACCATTCATTTGTTCGGTTTTTCGTAAGCTAGGGGATCGTCATCACTGACGGCACGGTATGAATATTTGAATTTTTAGGTCATGTTTTTTGAGAAAAATGTATTTCAAACCAGTGAACAAGGCTGATCAATAAAGCCGAAATATTTGGTTATAATATTTAGTTTTCCTCAGCGAAGCCCGTTTTGAAAACAATTAACTTTTTAGAGGCCCACCATTTGGAAATTAGGCAATTTTTAGACGAATGACTTCGGATCGGGGCCTCAGCCACCTTCTTCTACACGTTTCACTGAGTAACTCCGAAATTTCGGAAAAAACCCTGATAATACCTTTAAAACAAAAGTATTTTCGGGAATGCTATTGATAGCGCTGTTCGGCGGCCGGCTAGCGCGCTAGCCCGCGCACACATACGTGCACGTTGCCCCGGCAACGGGCTATTGACCAATGAGAAGCGCGCTACAGGGGGGCACAGGTATATGAAAAATCGCAGTGACGTTGCACTTTCCTCGCTTCTCATTGGTCAATAGCCCGTTGCCGGGGCAACCAGCACGTATGTGAGCGCCGGCAAGAGTACTAGCCGGCCGCCGATCAGAGCCGATGTTATTGTTACTAATTGCTAATATTTTGCATAAATGCCCATACAAGAGCTTCAATGAATCTTCAGTCTCGGCTCAGCGCCCTGCGCGTGTCGAGAGGGTCGAACAAGTGGCAAGAGCCAATTTGCAGTGGATTTGGCCCCACCATGCATTTACCGTAGCGCCACCTACACTGGGCGCCACGTTTGGGCAAGACTGGGCAAGACAGAGAGGATTTCCGCAAGGATTTCCGTCATATCATTTTTTCAGTTCGACATTTTGAGTGCGGTGGGTATTTTCAAGGCCCTAAATACAGGTATTTTTAGCAGTTTTTGTCTAATGCAATATTCACCTGGGTCACAGATTGAGATACTTTATCCAGTGTTGTTACTTGTTATACCTTTCTTTATCCATGCAGACGCTGTGGTGATAATTATTTCAATTTTTTAGGGCTTGCTACGGGACGCACCAGCATCTCTTTTGCCTGTGCCAATGATTTCATGTCATATTTTTATCAGTATATTTTCTAAATCAAAATAGAACCACATCAAGCAATGTCAGTAGGTGGAACTATGGTCATGAGTACCCAAATACCCGACTGGAAAAAATGCACGCTTTCGTCGAGAACTCGAGCGTAGTTGGGCGTTTGCGCCGAAATTTTTCGGCGTACTTCGGCGTAAATCGACGGCTTGCGCCGAAATTTTCGGCGTACTTCGGCGTAAATCGACGGTTTTCTCTATCTCTCTATCGCAAACGGCTCCGGAGCAGTCGCGAAAAACCCGTCAGGGGTGGCACCAACCCCCCTCGGCCGGCGAGGGTTAAATGTCTTGGGAGTTAAACGTCTTAAATATCACTTATCTTGTCTCGTGTTCGTCTCAGGGTATTTAAGTCATGTTCAGTGAACCTGATTGTGACTCTCCCACGGCGGGAACAGTTCACCGATCGAGTGAGGTTATGGATTGTCGGATCCCCTAGTTCAGATAACGTATGCTATCGTTTGCGTATTGACCGTTGTGATTCCTGTATTTCCGGCGTGTGGTTTGCGAGCGGACGCTGGCAATCGGTCCCGCGTGGCCTGGTATCTGCCCGATCCCATCGGCCGTGCTTGCACCACGCCTGTTGAAGGCCCCGTCAGGCGTCAGTCACCGGCTGGGCACATACTGCTGATCAGAGCCGGGCAACAAAATAAAGGTTACGTTATGGAACATGCCAGTGAGTTTGTGAGTCAGGAGATTTTGTGATAGCGAACGCTGGTGCTCGGTCCCGCATGGCCTGCTGATGTCTATTGTCTGCCCGATCCCGTCGACCGTGCCAACAACCGTCTGTAGACAGTAGTCACTGGAAGACCATACACGCCAGCCCCCCCCCCCTCGACGAAAAGTGCGTGGCTACAGCCTGCAGCCATCAGTAAGCCTTGAAAATTTTCGGCGCATGAAGCATGGCTTGGTAAAATAATTTCGGCGCATAAACCCTTGCGCCGAAATTTCGGCGCATCACCTCCGCCGAGAACTTCAGCGTAGTGGAGGCATTTTTTCCAGTCGGGCCCAAATATAGGAACGTTCCCATTTTTGGGAACGGAGTTCCCAAATATGGGAACGGGCGTTCCCATTTATGAGAACGGAAGGTAATTTTTCGGCCGTTCGCCCACTAAAACTCATTAGTGCATCACGTCTCAAAAAAGTGCACGCTAATTTAAGTATCTACTAAGTCTCAATAAAATTATCTTTAATCTGACCGTTGAACAAGGAAATTGACCGTGGAATGATATTTTTAATGATTTTTTGAAATGACGGAATGGTGAAAACATGGGTTATACTACATTTAACTTGCAATTTTAAGGAAAATGAAGCGTTTTTTACATTTTGAGGTCAAGTATAATAATTTTCGCCTGGTTATGAAGTTTCATACTAGCGACACCAGATGCTGACATATGCAAGCGAACACGCGGACAGTCCCGGGGTAATATTGTTGACATTTGGTGTCGGGGCGCACGACCGCATGGAACGTCAGTGATTTTACCGAATTACTGTTGTAAACTCAGTTTCAGTGGTTTAAAATTATTCAGCTGTATTTTATCATCCCGGAAAGACATATTTTATTTGGATGCTAGCTGTTTAGAGTTGTTTTATAAGGAGCGTCATGAGCGTGGTTTTTGTCTTCCGTGTTTCTAAGCGTGATCGTTTTGGGGGAATTTCTCTTATATAGGTCGCTCTGTGTGGCTTATTTATAATTTTTATGCTGATTTCGATCATTCCTCGTGCCCATCCTACCAGGCCTTTTGCCACTTACACTCATCAAGAAAGGAAAAAACTAGATTTTCATTGGGACTAGGTGTTTTGAGGGTGTAACATATTCAGCGTTCCCATTTTTGGATACTTCCTTGTGCTCGTAAACTATCGGTGATAAACAGACAGGTGCTTGACATGTCTCCACCCTCGGCGCGGACGGTGGATATAGGTATGGAAGACCTTGTTGAACATCGCTGAGCGTTGTGAATTACGTAATCCTGCAGAGGGGGGCGTGCCCGCTGCGAGATCGACGGGAATAAAAGCGCAGAAGACCGGGCGAAACATGCGACGGTCTTGCCGGAAAGGTCATCTGATGATTGTTGCGTTAACAATAATTTGCGGCGTTGGACGTGATGCTTGTTAATGAAAAGAGCCCCTGAAAGGCGTCGGTGAAATCGTTCCCAATTTTGGGTACGCCGTTCCCATAATAAGGAACGCTTGCAGCGCCAGTGTACGAGAGCGTTCCCAAATTTGGGCTCGCGGCCCGGATGATGGACTGCTTTAGAAAGAGGGGAACGATTTGAAACTACGATGGGCCTTACAATATCAAACTCTTTCCCAACAATATTGAGACAAATATCAGGCGGTTCACGATCGTTTTATATTTTTTGGACGTCATTTAACGGTTCTTTTTCTTGTTTTAAATAATGCCTACATGGCGTTCCCATATTTGGGTTTATCGTTCCCAAACATGGGAACGAAAATGCGTTCCCGAAAATGGGTACGCTTGACCATAGTTCCGCCTACTGATGTGAGGGATTGGGGTGACCCTGTTGTATTTTGTAAGATTGAAATGTTTCAATTTTGTCACCACAAGTGACGTAGAGTCACTGTGACGCTGTAGCACTCAAGGTGGTAAGTGGTAAGGTAACCACTAGGTAATTCCTTGATGGAGCAATCTGACCCACGGGCCTGGGCCCTGGGTAGTGGGCGATCTATCTGGTGACCTTCCTCTGATATCTTGAATGTTGTTTGCTTCTTTTTGCTATGTTTGTTGGTAGTTTTTTTTTAAAGATATTTCTCAACCCACCTGCAATCTGCATCCTACTTAACATTGCCAGCCATGCATCCGCCCAAGTTTGGCAGCGAATTGGGACCTTCCCGGTGCGTGCCCATGCATCCACAGATGACAGCACACTGGTGCTATCCTAGTGTGCAGTGGAAGACTCCTTAGGTTGCATGGGATCAAAAGCTGGCGCTTAGGTAGTTAGTCAGCCTGCTGCAGCCTGCACTGCAGGCAGGTCCTAAGCAACTCCAGAGTCCAGAGTGGTACCTTATCAGTACTGGGTTACCATTAAGCCATACCAATAAACTCCATAAACTGGTGCTAATGGCATTCTGCTAGCTGCTAGGTATCTGCTGATCAGTGCTTCCAGCCTCCAGGTGCTACAACTACTGCTTCAGTTTCAACTGAAGCTGAAGCAATAGTACATATTGTCAGTGTCTTGTAGCTCATTTGGAGAAGGGTTGAGCTGTTGATGGTGGGAACTGAGACTTGAGAGTCCTAGTTTGGTTTGCTCCAGAGTCCTGTTGGCCATCTATATTCTATATATGCCATACCAGACTCCTGAGTACTCCTGAGATGGGGAATGGTCTACATATGGCGGGAGCAGCTGCAGCCAGCTGAAGTCAGTTGAGTGGGACAGGCTTTGATGGAAATGATAGATTTTGGCATCAACTTGTCCTGTTGCCAGGTATCGCCTCATGGAGCATTAGGGATTGGAGCCTACTTCAAGCATTTTATATATTTTTGTTAGATAAAGATGGATCTGCCTTCCCACTTAGGTAGGATCATCTTATGTATGAACACCTTATTACATATTTAAAACATAAAGATGCATGACAAATTACACTTCTCCAGAAGATGTTTTCATCCACGGATTCTGTTTGCAGGATGTCTCGCCAGATCTACTTTTGCGGCTCGATCCGCGGCGGCCGCCAGGACGTGGAGCTTTACGGCCGGCTGGTGGCCGCGCTGCGCCGCTACGGCACCGTGCTCACTGAGTTTGTTGCTGACCCCAAGGTCACGGAGCTGGGCAGTAACGAGGGCACGGCCACCACAGACCGCGAGATCCACGACAGGGACGTCCGGTGAGATGGGGGAGGGGGGAGGGAGAGATAACAGGCGAACTGGTGCCCAACGGAGGAGTGGCACACAACGGTGGTGGTGTGAGTCTGAGTTGAACTGCGATCAGATCTCACGGAGGAGCGTCGGGAGGGTGTGAAAGGCAGCTGAGATTTAAACGAGAGAGTGCGAGGGAGATGGAAGCGTTGATTGGGGGTGAGCTAATGGTGACTCACAAGGTTTGGAGTTTCTTCCTCAATTTAACAGGTTTTATAAGGTACTGAGCTTCTTGTGGCTCCGCTGACCCGTGACCGACCTCTCGGCAGGCTGCTGTGACCTGTGACCCTGCCGTGTGACCCGTGACCCTGCTGTGTGACTTGTGACCCTGCCGTGTGACCCGTGACCCTGCCGTGTGACCCGTGACCCTGCCGTGTGACCCGTGACCCTGCCGTGTGACCCGTGACCCTGCTGTGTGACCCGTGACCTGCTGTGTAACCCGTGGTCCCACTGTGTGACCCGTGACCTTGCTGTGTGGTGTGACCCTGCTGTGTTGCCCGTGACCCTACTTTGTGACCTGTGACCTGCCGTGTGACCCATGACCATGCTGCTGTGACCTGTGACCCTGCTGTGTGACCCGTGACCCTGCTGTGTGACCCGTGACCCTGCCGTGTGACCCGTGACCTTGCTGTGTGGTGTGACCCTGCTGCGTGACCCGTGACCCTGCTGTGTGACCCGTGACCCTGCTGTGTGACCTGTGACCCTGCTGTGTGACCCGTGACCCTGCTGTGTGACCTGCCATGTGACCGGTGGTCCCACCCACTGTGTGACCCTGCTCAGCTGTCTGACCCGTAGTCCTGTGGTGTGGTGTGCCCCGCGGTCCCACTGACCCGACGTCGGCCGCTCGCGGCAGGCTGCTGGAGCAGTGTGACACGATCGTGGCCGAGGTGACGCAGCCCTCGCTCGGAGTCGGGTACGAGATCGGCCGAGGGATCGCTATGGGCGGCCGGCGCGTGCTCTGCCTGTACCGGCCTCAGCCGGACAAACGTGAGTCGCCCGCCCGCCCGACCGCCGCGCTGCAGCGCTGCCGTCTCGCCCGAGAGGAGTCGCTATTTTGTCTTGGTTTATGTTTGTTGGTTTATGCACGTTATGTTATGTTGGTGAGGTCTTGACTTATGTCTAATTGGATCATGTCCAAGCTATGGTCATTCCAACTCATTGCTTTACTAAATTGACGATGAAGGTTCGCTTTGCGCATCCCCATCCCCCACCCCCACCTTCAATGAGTGTTGCACATCATAAGCAGTGTCGACTTTGGGACCAAGCAAAAGAGTTGTGTAGTGCATTATGGGATTATGCCGCTTGGCCTATCAACCGCAGTACGGCAGTAATATAGTTTTTTTTTTCAGTGAGCCGAAGGGCGAGTTATTTTGTTCAGATGCTCTTTTTTTGTCATCTTGTCCTTGGTTATGCTCCGCCTCTGGGCTGTTGTAGGATGAGGTATCGGCGCATTAGGGGCAACACGTTCTTTCCAACCTCTTTATCCGCCTTAGATGTCTCCTAAACCAATGGAGCACACGCTCAGGTGACTAACGATCTGTTAGATAACGATGTTAGATAAACTTGTCACCAAAAATGTGATCCACCTCTGTAATCCCTGTGTAAGTCCCGTAGGAATGTGGGGTGCCCCGGCGCTATCCCCGGCGAGCCCGGCGTTCGCCCGTCTGCCGCGGCCGGCGCCTGTGTCGGGTTTGCCGTTCGTTTCGCTGAGCGTGTCCAGCCCTGGACGGTGACGGCCGGCGGTGACGGCCCGCCCCCCGTCCGCAGGTCTCTCGGCAATGATCCGCGGCCTGCCGCCCTCCAAGGACATACAGGTGGTGGACTACTCGGCCGACAGCTTTGAACAGGTGCTGTCCGACTTTTTCTCTGCCGCCTAGCACTGTGATGGGTGTCAGCCAGGTGGTGCTCTGATGGTCCGGTAGTGCTGCCGGTGAGCACAGAGAAACTCGACTGCCATTACGTGTGCAATCTCAGTGATTTGATGAGCATATTTCGGCCTCCGGTCGATGTTCTGCCCCTTGTTGAAAACGTACTCAGGTGCCCTTTTTATGCGGGCATTATGCTTCCTTATGTAAATGAAAATAAATTGGCATTTTTGTATCTTTATCTTTTTGCTCCCCTTGATTCTTGAATGTGATTTACATTTAACAATCAGCATTATTTATCGCGTGATAGGGCTCAGCATCATAGGTGAATTTCACATTAACCTATTGAAGTGCGTATCCTATCTGATATTAATATTCTTGTTTGCTTGTTTTCTCATTTTTGCAAATTATCTTCTTGTTGTTTTGCTTATTTTCCATTTTGCTACCTTTCTTATTTTTGCTTTATTTTTCCTGAGTGATCGTTCTTAACCCGCGCATGACTGGGGTATTTTCCATAACGCGAGTGACTGGGGGGGGGGGGGCTCTCCAGAGCCCCCCCCCCTCCTATCTCCGAAACTACTGGGCCGATCGTCAAAATTCAAACGGCGTCTGATAGCCCTTGAAAAACTGTCGAGCGAAACCTATTTTCAGTGACCTCGAGGTCACCGATGACGTCACAGGTCAGGTCAAAGTAAAAATTATCGACATTTTTGTTAGTTCACAATTTGGGCTCTGACCGCCGGACCGCCGGTCCGATCAGGCTCATTTTTGGTTTACGCACTCCTTGACGGATGCCTTAGATACCCTGAGGGTACCGAACTTTTACTTCGAATTTTTAAGGTCAAGGCCAGGTCATCCTAGGTCACGAAAATTGTATATCATGTATCGGTCACGTGACGCATGTTTTATGGTCCATTTTACTCGTAGATTTCGAAAATAGTGTCTTCTGTGTCATTTGAGGTCATTGTTAGCTGAATTTACCGGAGGTCAGGTCACTTTCAGGTCAGAAAAGGTCAAATTTTGAAAATGAAATTTTTCAACAAAAAAGGTGCCTATCAGATGCAGTTTGAGCTCAGGAACACGATGGTGCCGTTTATATTGCTGTACGACGTCAAAAACGTACTGAAAAATGGATTTGAAAAAACATAAAATTGTAAAATTTTGACAATAATGCGAATAACTTGGCTATTTTTGAAGATATTGGGCTAAAACTTGCAAATGTAGTTCATCAGTGTGTGTTCTATCACATATATTCCGGTATTTGCGAAAATTCAAAAACTTTTTGAAAAAAAAATAAAAAAAATATTTTTGTAATTGTAAATAAATATTTTTAGATATTTTCAACATTTCGAAAATTCGAGATAGCAGTTCGATAGCTACGTGTATTTGTAGTCCACTCATGCAAAGAAAATGGATCTAGCTTTAAAACTGAGCTCTTGAGAGCGTTTGCCGTATTTCAGTATTTTGCATGAAAATCGGCCGACATGACGTCACTCTGACGTCATTCCCGGCTAAACTATGGTAGCTAGAAAGTTGAAATTTTAACACAAGGTGTCAAATTGATGCCTCTGAGGGTACCGCAAGTTTCGTGTTGATCCGTCAAACGGTTTAGAAGATATTGCTGAAAAACATGAGGGGGGGGCTCTGTAGAGCCCCCCCCCCCCCAGTCATGCGCGGGTTAACGGAGCCTCGGCTCTCAGGCATGATATATGCAGAGCAAGGTCGTATAACCGGGCCCCAAACGTTAGCGATGACAAATTCCAACAGTCGCCCGCAGTGTTAACTGTGTCAGTGAAGGCCATGACGTACGATTTCTTACTCAAGAGTCAAGTCGTCAACTGGTATTTTGGGGTAGAGAGTTCCCAGCCTGTGAGGTTGTATTAACTGTTGGGCATTTATCGCTTTTGAATGTTAACGTGTTCATTCACATTTTGATTTTCCTTAGTTTCCTTTTGAGGTATGACGTGAAACGCGCACGTTGCGTTGTGCCCGATGTGCGGTGTATTTATCGGTATGGTTAGGGTTGTTTCTCCCTTCAAAAATTCGCACAAAAGCAAATTTACGCTTCGAGAAAGGAACCGTAAGTTAGATATAACGCAAAACCGATAAAGCATCGATGTGAGAAACCATTACCCGGCAAACTCATTATGATGGATTTATTTACACAGCGGTTTTCAAAAATGCACGGTTTCTCTGTTCGTCAATGGCTTTATTGCGATATTTCATCAGCATTGCTCTGACATCGAATTGCTTGCATACGTCCTATTTGTATAAATATGTCATTTCGTCAAACGTACTTTGTTCCAACGCGTTAGTCGGTCGCACATGCAAAAGGTCAAATATGTACACAGGGGCCGAGGTCAAGTAAGGTAGCGAAACTGCTGAGATACCCATTCCACGGGTTAGAAATATTGGAACCGTCTCGAAATGGTCCTTTTTAACCTTGACGTCCCGTGCTTCTGCGTTTTGTACGTGTAAAAGCACAGTCCGTTTTGAGTTGAGCACGAAAGTACAAGGAAGCGCGCTGCCGGGCTGCGGCGGCACGCGGTGAGGTCGGTTCCCGGACCCCCAGGTGTAGCGCAGGTCGGCCCGAGTCGCCCCCCAGGTGTAGCGCAGGTCGGCCCGAGTCGCCCCTCAGATGTGCGCGCAGGTCGGGCCCTCGGTGGTCAGCTCGCAGACCGTGTTGGGCGGACAGTACTTGCCTGTGCAGGTGCCGCGCACTGTCGGAGGAGGAGAGCCGTTAGACCGGTCGGCACGCTCGCTGCCACACTTCCCTGTGGTATTTTTATACAGACTCGTGAAGGTTATACAAAGTGAAGGACCTAAATAAATGACTGAGCTGGACTGAGCATAGCAACCTCTGACTGTTCGCCTTGGTTCTTTGACTTTGAAGGATTTCAGGAAGTGAGGCCTCTTCGAATCGTATGTTTAACCCATTTATAGTGAGTTTCATTTTTCGATGAAGTCATCGATAAGCATTCATAGTTTGAAGATAGTCTGTGGCTAGCCCCTCCTATTGGCCGCCACCCTCCGAGTGGTGTACTCACGTTCTCCCTTGCGGCAGAGCGCTCCGTCGGGCGTGTCGATACAGTTGAGTCCCGGCTCACACTCGCGCACCTCGCACGTGTTGGGCAGACAGATGGGCGAGCCCTGGCGAATGTAGCAGTTGGTGCCGCGCCGGCAGAAGAAGCCCTCGCATGTTGGCACATCTGTGTGTCGGAGAGAAATGGTCACAGTCACGCGTTGATGAGTTGTGACGGTATTGGTGCATAGAAAATAATGCTAGTCTGATGGTTCTCTGAGTTAGATGGCATATATGTAGGTATTGCCATTGCATCAGATGGTATTCCTAGCACATGCGGAGCACGGCTCGCAAGTGGGAATGTGTTACCATACGTTAAATATTAATAATAAGTTTATAGTAGCAAGCTTATTTGAAAAAGTTTGCTCGAATGTTTGAATAGATGGATTGATGGACCAGAGACCATGCTAAGCAGAGCCCCGACCCTTACCACCCGATCGCGCAATTTCGGGTACCTAAAGGGAGACTTTGGATGCCAGAGTTAAGTGTGTTCTTCAAAGCCGGACATTCCTGTCCCACTCAACTGACTTCAACGGGCGGCGGCTGCTCCTACCGTCATTCAGGGTAACTTTAGCATGATTTTTGACTTTTGTGATGTCTCTTTCTTTTGGTGGGGACAACAGGTTAAAGTTATAGGCTGGAAAACTTGTGGACGGGTGGGCGCTTTCGGGTGGTATACTTGCTTTTTTTGTTCCACTTGCTGAATGCCGATTTTTTAAAAAAATAGGTGGTGGCTAAAGTTAAACTGATACTGGCTAACTTTAGCCACCCATGCCATTTGTCGTAATTACTTCCTTTATTTGGGCGGTGGCTAAAGATTGGGCAGATCTGTCGAACTTTAGCCACCTACAACATTTTAAAAAATATATAAATCAACATTTGGACTCAATCTGATGTTTTATTCATATAATTGGGCCCCAACGAACAAACATTCTTCGCGAACGTTAGCAGTTACTCGAACATGAACAGTTAAACTCACATGCAGACTTACACGATGTGCATGACAAACATACAGCTTCTAAACTCAAAGAAAAACAATGAACCCCTTTCTTGTCTCGCTGACATGTTCAGTGTCTTGCTTGGGTTTCTGGATTGAGCGAGACATAGCCATCTTACATGATCTTGTCCAGCGCAAACGGCAGAGTCCAGCTGGACCCACGCCGGTCGGGGACGATGTTCGCGATTTTGCCAACTACAGCACTTGCGTCAATGACGGCAGTATCTTCGGCGTCTGGGAAAACGAATACTCCCTTTCCCTTCTCCTTCATGAAGGACACTTGCAGCTGTCCATCTTCCTCGGGAGTCTCCATGATCTGGCCAACAAAGAAGTGGTCCTTTTTACGACCCGGCAGCCGCACGACGAGGAAGTCTCCTGTGTGGAGATTCAGGTCAGCCACATCACCTGCCTGCAAGTCTGGGGGTAGACGCTGTTTGATACGCTGTTGTTTGGCAGGGGGCGGAGCTGCAGTCATGTCATCATCAGGCGCTGTTACTGCAGCTGTTCGACCTCCCGTACGCTGCCGTTTCCCAGGGGGTGCGGCTACAGTCACCTCGTCATCCGAACTGCTGGATAAGTCGTCCTCATCAGAGCTTTCACCGACTGCTCGCCCGGCCACCACATTCAGCTTCGTGCGCCTGGTGCGGGATGGTCCTGCAACACCTGACCCGTGTCCTCGTAGGTCTTGAAGGTGTTGGAGGATGTGGTCATCCATGGTGTCCACTGCATCTGCTTGACGAGGAAGTCGTGCGAGAAGAGGTTCGGCAGACACAGGGCTCAGTCCACACGCCCGGAAACCTGCAATCAGGTTTTCAGTGTTCAACGTCTCCACGAGCTTCTTCAGCATGCTGGGGAACATCACCTTCGGAAGGGTCGTGTGCTTCTTTCCTGAGGGCGTGGACCGCCACTCGTCGATGATTCTTCTCCACTGCCTTTTCAACGGTCCAAAGAAGGCCACGTCGAGGGGCTGCGTGAGGTGGGTGCTGTTGGGCGGCAGACAGATGAAGGATATGTTGTTCTCCTTGCAGGCATTGACCACTCTCTCTGAGAGATGTGACGACAGGTTATCGCCAACGATGGCTTTCTTGCCAGTTCTTCGTCGAAGATACGGCAGGCAGACCTGAAAGAACCAGTCCTCGAATGATTGCTCATCGAACCACCCAGATGGTGAGAATGTGTACTTGGCACCAGCTGGACCGCCTGCTGTCCACTCCTGATACAAGTTTTGCGCCTTGTATACGACATATGGAGGCAGAAGTTTTCCAGATGCACTCCCAGCAAACATCACTGACACCCCAGCCTTGCTGTGATTTTTCACAGACTCTGGATACTTCATGCCCTTTTCACAACGACCTTCTTCCGGCCTGGATCGTCGCCTAGCGCCGTCTCATCATAATTGATGAGATTATCGGGTGTAACACCATCGAGGGAGGTCTCCAGGTGCTTGCAGTACTCCTGAATCGTACTGGCGTCGACATTTGCCCGAGAAACGCTGATGTTGCCCGACATGCGTTTTGTTAGGCGGTTTCGTCGCATGAAGCCCTGTGCCCAGTCCCATCCAGGCACGTTGTTGTTGAACTGTGGGTGCTTGATGCCATTCCGATCTAGGTAGGCCTTCACTATCATCCTTACGTCCATCGACGTGCATGGAAATCCCCAGTTAGCCATTTGGACCAGCCTCTTGGCGAGGTGCTGTTCTTCCGGTTCGCTTAGAGCACAGGGACGACCTGGCTTCTGATCATGCTTGCCAGCTAGCTTGTTTGCCAGTGTCTGACGGTTGAGACCATGCAAGAGTGCTGCTTTCCTGACAGACATACCACCATGCACATCTTCGATTGCTGTCCTAATAGCATCATCAGTAAACTCTTTATAGGGACGAGGACGAGGCATGGTTCATAGGTACCGGGATTCTTGTGGAACGGACTTTGGTCTGGAACAGAAACACATGGATAAGGAACAGTCATGACACTCAAAATGCAAGGAAAGGTTCTACAACGCATTGTGTGCACTTTTACTTGTAAATCCAATATTTTATGATTTTTTCTTCCTGCCTAGTGTCCCATCACGGGTGGCTAAAGTTTGCCTGATATCAACTTTAGCCACCCCTTCTCACCTTAAGCCACAGCTCCAGCCAAGAGGAATAGAATAATCATATAATACTGAGTGGGATAAGGCAGTAGAGGCTTTACATGTTGCACACAAACACGTGCCCAAGTTGTGCTACCTCCTCCTACATGTGTAGGGGTACCATCAAATTCACTTCATTTTTGGGGATATTTGAAGACAATGTTTGAAGAGGCATAAAAATTATTTCTGATTGGCAAAATAACTGCTGTTCATCTGCATATGTATTTTAAATTGATGCAATTCATGTTGGTATTAATTATTTTTCCCAATTCAAAACATAGTATGCACATGATCAATTCAAACTCTGAACCTCGATTTGGCTAAAGTTACCCTGATGGCTAAAGTTACCCTGAATGACGGTACCATTCGCAGACCAGTCCTGTCAGCATTCCCAAATATCGAGAGCCGGAGCGACTCGAACCCGGACTCTCGCAACTGGGAATCTATCGCTCTACCAACTGAGCTATGGGACACTGAATCACAGTGGCCGACCGCGCCGGCTGCTCACAGAGCGCCGCTCACCTGGCACGCAGTCGGGTCCGTCGGGCAGGTCATCACACCTCTCCCCAGCCGCACACCGGATGTCCACGCAGGTCACTGAAACACGCCACTGTCAGTCACACAATCCCCTACAGATGATCACTTGATCACGCACCAGTGCGACACTAGCTCAGCACTCAACAGCGTCCCTTACAGCTGATCACGTGACGATGCACCAGCGCCCCAGGCCCCAGGGTCGTGCTGTAACATTTTGACAAGCATCCCATGTCTCACGCCAGCCGGCGTTCGTTGCTTACCGGGTCTGCAGCGGGGCTGGCCGTCGAGGATCTCGCACTTCTCGTACGGCGCGCACTCAATGTCTTCACAAGTCTCTGAAACACGACAGCGTGTGAGCAACGCACTGTTGATGGTTCGGTTCAATGCAAACACTCACTTGTTATGCCAAGACAAAAGTAGAATGAAACTGTGCCTCGGTATTTGATCAGATTGCTGAGTGCATTTTCAGCACGCAGTGATGGAGTTGGCTACTTTTCCATCAGATATCACGCGTGGCTACTCGCGCAGGCGGACGTCCAGCGTTACTTAGCGCAGCACACGGCCCACCCGCTTCTCCATTTGGTTGAACGCTGAAAATCACTTATCTCCATTTCCACAGGTCTGCTTGTCAAAATTGAAAGTACGAATTGTAATAAGAAGGTCGCAACATTGCCACGTTTCGCCGACTTACTGGGTCGGCATCTGCCTCCGTCCGGCGTGTCGTCACAGAGCTCGTAGGGCTTGCAGACCAGCTCCTTGCACGTCTCTGAAACATGACAGAGGTCACGTCAACACTGAGTCAGTTATGTCCTATACTGCGGTTCTCCAGAGGAATGACTGGTCGTACCAGGTCGTCCTATTGGTGCGTTATGCAGCTTACAAAGTGATCGTATTTATCAACGATGCACTGTTTGCTACAGGGACGCCTTATCTGTACACTGCGGGATCCTGTTTATCGGTGGCTTGTTAGGCCTCTGGCCTTAGTTGTTTGAAGTTTTCGGCTAAGAGAGCATTCCAATCCTTCAATTTTATAGCAGGTTTACTTTTCATTTCTACCAAATCTTCATCAAATCTAATGATCTCTGTGATCCTCTATCAAAATATTGCCAGTGAGGTGCATTTTATCTCCATATCTCGCCGAACGGTCATTCAGTCGACACGAAACTAACGCCCACGTCTCAAAACCACACCCTCTTGCGTTGCGTTGGGAAGCGGGTCATCCTAGCTTAGCAGCGGCATTGCTAGCCAATGGCGTACTTGGTCTGCATTTCGGCTCTCCGTAGCTGTCGTCGCAGACTTCATTGGGCAGGCAGGTGATGTCGTCGCATGTCTCTGAAATGACCGACAGCACACAGTGAGCGGCGTTACAGCAACTGTGAGTGGAACAGTACCCGCCCCACAGTGTCAGTGGGACGATACCCACAGTGTCGGTGGGACAATACCCACAGTGTCGGTGGGACAATACCCACAGTGTCAGTGGGACAGTGCCCACAGTGTGAGTGTGGAAGTGCCCGCCCCGCAGTATCAGTGGGACAATACCCACAGTGTCAGTGGGACAATACCCACTGTGAGTGTCACAGTCCCGCCCCACAGCGTCAGTGGGACAACACCCACAGGTTGAGTGGGACAATACCCACAGGGTGAGAGGCACAGCACACAGTTGCGGGTGGAGCGGAACAATCTAGCCTCATCCCACTGAAATCGCGTCAGACCAGTGTCTGGGTGAGCCCTGTGAATCTCACAACCATCCAATTCCAGAGCAACGCGAGACTGTGACTGCCGCACTGATGTGTGCGGTGCTAAACAGAAGCAGATTAAGTGTAACAGAACAGTCAACAGAAGCTGCAGCCTGCAACTTACTGGGCCGGCATCTACCACCCTGCGGTGTATCGTCACAGAGCTCGTTGGGCGCACACACTATCTCCTTGCACGTCTCTGGAACACAGAAGACAACACGTGTCAGACTTGTGTCGCCATAACAGCGGAAGTCAAAGCTCGAGGACAAGGTCTAGTACTCTAGTGAATAGGGTAAGGTCTGGTAAAATGTAAGGAGTGCATGGAATTGTAAATTAATGAGATTTTATATGACCCTTTAACTCTGTGTTTTCTTTACGGTTTGTTTTAGGTACCTGTTAAATTGTGACAATGACAATGACAATGACAAAAATTTCGCTGAACCCCATGAACCCGATCGCGCTGTTTTGCGGTGTGACCTCAGACCCATGTGCGCCCATGAGCCCCCTTCATCTCGAACTGTCAATGCTAGGTACAGACTTGTAAACGACTCAAATTTTTTTTGAGTTGATTCTTTGTTTGAGTCTGGAAATTTGAATCGATTCATCAAACGACTCATGATGTTAAATTTAATTGATTCGAATCAACTCATGACTCATCAAGTTCCTCGATGAAATGATTCGAATCAACTCATGACTCGAGCAACTAGCCAACGGAATGATTCGAATCAACTCATGACTCACACATTTTGATGAATCGATTCAAATCAACTCATGACTCACACGACATTTTTATTGAACTTATTTCATTCAACCCATGACTCACCATAGGCATTTGTTGATTATTTGACTCAAAGCTATGATAAAATGAATATGCCGCATACCACAATTGTATTAAGCAGCATAGTAGCCTTGATCAAAGATTCAAGCAGCTACCTAGTAGGACTAGGTACATAGGTACCTACCTTACACCTACCTATCTTCAACACTCAACAGTCAACAGTGCAATGTCAGATAAATTTGTAAGTAACTCTGAGAGACAATTATAATATAAGTAAGGACTAAGGAGTAGCATAGTAACCTATCTCTTATTATTACCTAGAAAGTCTTATTTGAAAATTCAAAAGCACAAGTTCCGAGAGGCATTCATGTTTTTTTTTTAATCAAACTTTGTCTACATGATAATGAGACAAATGTTACTACTTCTTACTTATCAGATAAAATTATTCAAACAGTACAACCTCAAAAATAGGATTAATCCCACCTGTGAAACATTCAGCATCAGCAGGGACTCCATGGGCCACGAGGAGGCCATGACCTTGCATGAGTGGCTCAGGCCTCAGAATCAGATATGATCTTGAGTTGAGACTCATTGAAAGTAGTTAATGTAGGTATACAATATACATTCTCCAAACGGCACCTAGTTTAGCAGTGCCAACTGGCTACCAGCTAGATAGAGCCCATCCGTCACTTACCATTTATGTTGGCTCAACGTGGAGATTAAAATGAAGGAATATAAAAAAAAAATATTGTTACCCCGCATTCGATGTCTCTCGGACGACGAAGATTCTACGTTGTCCGGCCAATCACGTTCAAGGTCAGCGGGGGCTCGGCTGCGGTTATGGAACGTGATTGGCCGAACGACGTAGAATCTTCGTCGTCCGGGAGACATCGAACGCGGGGTTAGTCTACAATTTTACCCCGCGTTCGATGCCTCTCGGACAGCGAAGATTCTACGCCGTCCGGCCAATCACGTTTCATAACCGCAGCCGAGCCCCCGCTGACCTTCGACGGGATTGGCCGGACCAGGCCGGACGGCAAAGAATCTTTGCCGTCCGGGAGACATCGAATGCCGCCTTAGATTAAAAATGACGTCATTGAATATTAATCGATATCAGTGCCTGCTAGTCACTAGCAGGCACTTGGTTTGGTAAGACTAAGTACCTACCAACTGCCAAATGCTTTTGGCTCATTAGGCGCCTGTGCCTGAGCCTCTGAGGCTCTTGTAAGTCTGAAATATGGAGTTAAGTGATGGCTAAAGCTGAGGGGGTGATCTAGCATTGATTATTAGGGTGTTGATGGTGACTTGTAAACGACTCAAATTTTTTTTTAGTCGATTCTTTGTTTGAGTCTGAAAATTTGAATCGATTCATCAAATGACTGATGATGTTAAATTTAATTGATTCGAATCAACTCATGACTCATCAAGTTCCTCGATGAAGTGATTCGAATCAACTCATGACTCATCGAAAAACGGTTTGATTCTGAGTCGATTCACGAATCAACTCAGAGTCGTTTACAAGTCTGGACTAGGTAATGTCGTACACCTAACTTTCATCAGTCTACCCTTGAAATATTGTTTGTTTGCCTTGGGTCTGACTTATTATATCTGTTTTGCCGCTGTCTGCCTCGGTTTGCTTTGATTGTAAACTGTATATGTGCATCCAACAGCCAGGAGCATCTTCTTTGTAGAAGCGCAATGGTGGGCCGTGGTGCACCTGACAGAAGGTTGAGTTTTGGAAATGAACTTTCCTACTTGGCCGCGGCAGCAGCCCAGCCAGTAACCTGAGGGGTGTTCACGGGCACCGCACACTGCTGCGTGCGCTGTGTGCGGTGCGTCCAGCAGGCGTGGGGGTAGGGGATGGGTAGGCGGCTCTGACGTCACGGCTGCGTGCGGTGGACGGTCCGCTGTGGCCAGTCCCGACCGGCCACAGCGGTCGCTGTGTGCGGTGACGGAAGGCTGACGTAGGGACGCAGTGGGCGGAGCTTGGAGGCTGTGTGCGGTCCGACCGCACACAGGGCCCGTGAACAGCCCTCTGGCTATTCCTTCCCGTCACAGAGTGAACCCTGGTCCCCGTGTCTAGTGTCGGCCGCAAAATGACCAGGGCCTCCAAACAATCAATGATCAACACATCAAGTGTATGAACTAGAATATCGCGTGGGTCTGATGCGCACGGCCGTGCGTCGCTCCTCTGCTGACACCCACAAATGATCGTATCGTGCGTGATTCAACTGGCGTCCTCGCTGGAGGAGCTTCATCCCTTCTTTCGATTCATACGTCACTGTTTCAATATAACGTGTGCTTTAACCCGCGCCCCGCTGGGCTATTCAGCCATACGCGCCCTGCTGGGGGGGGGGGGGCAGATTCTGCCCCCCTTGTCTAACTTCCGAACCGATGGTCGTAGAAAGACGGGGAAAACGGCAATCGAAAGCTCTCAACAAGGCGGATCTTAAGAGCCCAAATTTTTTTGCTTAAGTAGGTCAGAGGTCAGGTCAAGGTCAGGTCAAGGGTACAAAATGCAAGTTTCTACAGTATCGGCCTTGCACCGTAGTTGCCGAAGAATGGACTGCGACTGATTGCCCAAAACTTGTTCTTAGACTACCAAGACAATATTCGTTGCATACAATGTCATTCAAAGGTCAAGGTCAAGGTCAGGTCAGGTTAGGTCAGGTCACCAAAAACAAAATATAGAAAAGGGCATGTGTGACACATGTTTTATGGGTCATTTTACTCATAGAATTCAATAGGCACACTCAAGAAGTGATATGGACCACCTCTGGATGATTTTCAGGTCGAGGTCAGGTCAAGGTCAGGTCAAGTGAGGTCAAATTTTGAAGTTGGTTGTTAAGGCTTAAAAAGGTGTCTATCTGATGCAGTTTTTCACGGCGAATCGAATGGTGCTATTTTTGTTTCCGTACGAGGTCTAGAACTTCCCAAAAAAATCATTTTTCAAATTTTTTGTGTGTCGTGACGTCATAAAATTTTCAATAACTCCCACATTTTTGAACCGATTCTTCTAAAAATTGGTATGTAGGTGCACATAGACGACTTCTCTGACATACATTCCGGTTTTTCGATACTCAAAGTTTTGGATTTTATAATTATTTTCCCAAAAAAGGCAGTTTTTTGAAAAAAAATTTGGGCCAAAATCCAAAATTTTCAAAAAACCGAGATAGCCATTTGATAGACAAAGTAGAATCACGTATAACCTTTTTTGTTTCGTCTTGATTCCTTTAAAAATGAAGGTGTTAGCGGCGTTTGAAATTTTGCCGTTTTTGAGGCGAAAATGGCGAACATGACGTCACTAAAACGTCAATTTCTCAAAAAAAAAATCCGACGGATTTCGCTCAAATTTTCAGGGAACGTGTCAAATTGATGTATGATAAGGTACTGAAAGTTTGAGGTCGCTGGCGTAACGCGTTTAGAAGTTATTGGCGAAAAACGGGAGGGGGGCAGATTCTGCCCCCCCCCCTTCCAGCGGGGCGCGGGTTAAAATAACGTCACTGCACGGTTGCGGTCATCCGGTCCTTAGTGAGGAATGTCTTTAATCTTCCCTAAAATAACCCCACAGCGTTGGGTCATTGACTTGGAATGTGATCCGACCTTGGACAATGGAATCTATCCGCAGGCGATTTCCCGGAATATGCGTGAGCTGGTTTCGCCAGCTTTTCACTGCTAAACGCTAAGTAATCTGGCGGCTCAGCTGTTCTTATACCGTGTAATAGATGCTAATCTGCTACACTGGGATACGCTGAATAAGAGGTTTCTATGTAGCACTAGGGCTTGGCCAAACGCATCCCTTCTTCTCCTCCATGATGTCACCAGCGGTGTAAATGAATAGGTAAGTAACTCTTGCAAGCTGCAGCTTGAACTTATATTATTGTGTGCGTCTAATTATCGTCTGAAGTCGTTGTCGCGTGTCTAAGCATACGAGGACCTCTCGCTCTCACTCTGTGAGGGAACCTGCTGAAATCGGTACCACGTTTTGCCACCGGTCCGAGCGGATCTCGATTGGGAGCGGACAAGGTCGACGGTTTTTCACCTCTGTTGACTTTGTTCCTTTGCTTGACTCATTGCAATTGAAGTTCAGATTCAATTTATCTGCTTGAAAATTGAACTATTCACGCTCAACAAGCCACATTTAACAATCAATGCAAGGTCGTCTTTGCAAATTTATTGAAAATGCTCGTTTAACAGTGCTAAATAAGCGAACCCTTCCAAAAGTGCGAGGCGTTTTTTTTAATACTTTTTTTGCGCAATCGTTTAAAAAACGATTACTTTCATACGGTATTCGCTTGAGATGACACTGCAGATGTCGAGAATAGCATGCTCGGCGCTCAGCGACATATAGGTACATATCTACCGAAATGGCTTTTCCCTCGACTTAAATCTACTTTTATTGGTAATGTCATAGGGTAAAGATAAACAACCCTAGATTTTCTGGGTCTAGAAATGTCAGGCGTAAATTTTGTCGCAAAGGGTGACTGTATGACTCATTTTATTTTGATATATTAAATCCCATATACCGTAAAGTGGGGCTATTTGAAACGGATTTTACAGTTTTTGGCCTCTCCCTTCAAAACGGTTGATATTTCCTATAGCATGTAAATTGCAAAAACGTACTTCTCTGTAACCGCTTTCAGATAGGTCAGTTTTAACCTAGTAACCATAAATAAAGTTATTTTTATACTTGAAGCCTGTCTCAAATAGCCCCATAGTGTGGGGCTATTTGAGACAGTTTTGGTTGCAAGGAAATTGAAGAAAATTGGTCAAGCTAGGGATAATTCTTTTAATGCCATGCGATCGGAAATTAAATTTTGATACATCTAGCAAAAAGTATTTCTTTCAACTACAGTTATACAACCCTTATAATCAAACTTTTCGTTTTTCGTTTGACATAACATTTCGGTCTGCTAAAAATTGCATTACTTTATGCTAGGGCTGTCATAATATGATGTGATCCTAAGCTTTAAAAAGCACAGGATGATTATCTAGGACTATTTCGTAGTTAACGACAGTGAAATTTTTCAAATAAAGTTGTTGTGTTTATTTCTGGCGGCGTAAAACATATAGGCCGAAAGTTGGTGGGGCTATTTGAGACAGTCTCGCTACTGCATTAAACGTACCGTAATGCATTAAAAAGGAAAAGCAGTTTCCAAAATGGTTGAATGAATGATATGCATGATCGGTTGTTCCATTGACATCAACCTGTGAAGAAATAACAGAAAAAGGTCAAACGGTTTTGATTTTATACCGATTTTCCTAGATCACTGCATGTTGTATCGAATGGCTGGTTACCGCACTGCATCAAGTACGTATACTGAAGGCTCACCTAACAGTAAGTATGTATGATAAATAACCTTCAATGGTGCTTCTTGTCAGCCAGAGTAGACATGGGTCGATTACCGACCACGTCAGTGACCGATGAAACACATTCTATGCACATATTCATAAAGGTAACTAATATCGTCACAAACTGGATTGTTGTATTAAGTTACTATGTGTAAATATTGCTTGCTGCTAAAAGTACCATGAAACCATGACCGATTCACCGGTGTTCCTTAGGTCGAACGTTTGATACACCTTAGGCAGATGGCGGTAAGTCTTAAGGATCCATCATATCACCTGTGTTTAGGGCCTTGGCATCACAATCATCAGCTGTACATATTTGGTATACGTTGAGGTATGACGAGGTGGGTATCATCGGGATTCTGAGACATCGGGTTACACAATTGTCGCTACCGCTAACAATATATAATGTCTTCATGTAAAATGTGCTTAGCCCATAAGTAAAACGATAGTTACGATAGATTCGGTTGCAAAGTTTTTAAAACTTCAACCATGTTAAGCTGCAGGTAGGGGTGCTTTTCGTGTAACTTAAATTTTGTTTCTTCTGTATTTCTCATTTAATGCCAAATTTCTTTCAAAACTTTTCAAAATTTTCAAAAAACCATATCCATGGAATTCATTGTTAAATTCCACATCAGCCTGAACAAAAATTGATCCAAAATATCAAACGCTTTTAATTTTACAGCGATTTTACGAAGCCACTTCCGTACTGTCTCAAATAGCCCCACTGTCTCAAATAGCCCCACTTTACGGTACTTAAGATCCCATATACTTAAGATAAGGTCATCGTGGCTTCTTGCAACGAACATTGTACGTCATGTGTCATGATAACCGTTCAATAAACTAGCCCTTAAGTGGGAACAACCGAAAAAAAAATCCCATATACTTAGATAGCATTCCGTTTTCAAAGAGTAAGCGGCAGGTAACTTACTCGGTCTGCATTCCGGCTGTCCGTAGTTGAGTTCGCAGACCTCCTTTGGCAAACAAGTGATGTCTTCGCATGTCTCTAAAACAAACACGTGTCCAGCTTTCAGCTTCAGCCCAGGCAATGCCGATGTGCTTACATCGGGTGGCTTTAAATTAGCACGACGTTGAAGCAATATGTGGCGATGCAAATGAATCATAAAATGAGTCCTGACTCGTTCAGTGTTCGCACCGGGGTGGACTGTGCTTTAGTTTACATAGAAGTATATCAGTGGAGGCAAAACATTAGACTTTTCAAAAGATGCATGTTTACCTACAGTTAAACCGTCGCCTGATGATTCGTGGTCGTGACCTTACTCAACCATTGCAAGTTCAAGTATGGAAGCATTGGATATCAACGATATGTTACAAAAGGCTGCAAGGAACGAATGTAATGCAACTTACTGGGCCGACATTTTCCTCCTAGCGGTGTATCGTCACAGAGCTCGTTGGGCGCACACATTATCTCCTTGCACGTCTCTGCGGCGGAGAAAACGTGCGTTGTGCTCATATGGTCGCGCTGGTGCGCTGCGTTGTGATCGCAGTAAATGAGCTGGTATCCTATCCCGAAATGGAAACACCCTCAGTTTGTTTTTCAATAGAAAAACACAATTCTAAAGAATAGTGTTTGTCTAATGAAGAAACAACTTTCGGGTATGTGTTTGCTTCTTGAACGTGGCCTTTCAGTATGACAAGGTACCGTTTTATGACCTCTGATTGAATCGTTTGTCAGAGATTTCGTCTAACTTTTTGTCGAAAAATAACTGTTCAGAGCTCTCGACTGTTTTGGATGCTATTTTAGCTCTTATAGCTCACCGGCTTTGGCATCTTTGTTCATAATATGTGACATTTGTTTATCGCTGATAACATTTTTTTTTTTACCGGACCGACCTATTAATTGTCAAATTGCTTTCGTAAGGACCATGCGACTTAAGGTTTTACCTTAACGTTTGACATTTGTGTTTGATGAAGTTTCTGAATAACACGAATAGATTCATAAAATAAGATTCATTGAGTACCGTAAATAAAATCCACCAGAAGCAAACTTTTTTGGATTTTTAAAATGTTGGCACAGAGATCAAACCATGAGTGAAAGGAAAGGGTACGAAATCGACTAAAAATGTTCATTCATTTTCTATTAACTAGGTACCTACCTATCAATTACGATAAATTTTAACGATTAAAATGTCTTCCATCATGAATGACACGGTGTTACTGAGGGAGGTCAAATTCTTACTTGGCCTGCAGATGGGCCCGTCCGGTGTGTCTTCACACACCTCATTGGGGCCGCACGTGATGTCGGCGCAGGTCTCTGCAACACGGAGTGCCACGAGTCAAGCAGGCTGTCTTGTACCGTGAGTTACGCAATACGCAGTTGGGGTTACTTGCATAAGTTCCACCAGGCACCAACAGCCGAGAAACGAGGTGTTAGTCTTAAAAAGATAGTAACGACTAACGATCGTTGAGATGTTTATGGGACATAATATGCCCTTGAAGAAAAAAAGCTGTGAAAACGCAGTGTTATAAGGGTGAACTCTAATATTTTTGCACATGACCCTTGACATTTTTCAACGCTGATACGCGTTTTTCAACGCTGACTGTGGGGAACAAAGCACTTATCAGCAAAGTTTGCCGTAAGTGAAGAGACATTGACCTGGCACGGTACCATTTGGGATTTATGGGTAGGCAGATGCGGCTGTCATTCTGTCGACAGTGGTTAATGCTGTATAGAACTTACTTGGAATACACACTTCACAGCGGCACTGGCGAACCTCACAGCGTTGTTTGGCCGCGCACGAATTACTGACGCATGCTGCAAAGAAAGTACATGATGCCCTTATTAAAGTGATGAGCGACGGTGCAATAGGTGAAACTAATTTGTGACAACTGTGGTAGCTTTTAAGAAAAGTAGCTTCGTGTTTTTTTATTTGTGATTTCATCAAGTTCGAGCTCAATCTTCACATTAACCTTACGTGTTAAGAATTTCACGAGGGAAAACCATACTGTGTTTAAGACCTTGCTTTCAATGCTCTTGCAATTCTGGCGTTATGATGGTCACTTGTTCACCAGTTTGGTACCTGTTCTTACTCTCAGAGACACGGCATGTTCACATGAGACAAGGCACTGTCCCTAGTTCTGTGCATTCACCGGCGGCGTCCCCCGTGTCCGTTTGATATACTCACTGTCGTCTGTCGGGGGGTCCCTCTGTGACCAGTTTGATAGATACACTCACTGTCTGGGGGTCCCTCTGTGACCAGTTTGATACACTGTCTGGGGGTCCGTCTGTGACCAGTTTTATACACTGTCTGGGGGTCCCTCTGTGACCAGTTTTATACACTGTCTGGGGGTCCGTCTGTGACCAGTTTGATACACTCACTGTCGTCTGTCGGGGGTCCCTCTGTGACCAGTTTGATACACTCACTGTCTGGGGGTCCCTCTGTGACCAGTTGTATACACTCACTGTCGTCTGTCTGGGGTCCTCCTGTGACCAGTTTGATACACTCACTGTCGGGGGCCCCTCTGCAACCAGTTCGATACACTCACTGTCTGGGGTCCCTCTGTGACCAGTTTTATACACTCACTGTCGGGGGTCCCTCTGTGACCAGTTTGATACACTGTCTGGGGGTCCGTCTGTGACCAGTTTTATACACTGTCTGGGGGTCCGTCTGTGACCAGTTTTATACACTGTCTGGGGGTCCGTCTGTGACCAGTTTGATACACTCACTGTCGTCTGTCGGGGGTCCCTCTGTGACCAGTTTGATACACTCACTGTCTGGGGGTCCCTCTGTGACCAGTTTGATGAAGGCCGCCTGTTTGCTGCCCGCCGCCGTGTCGTAGTGGTGGTTGGGGAGCGCCGCGCAGGCGGTGAGCAGCAGCAGCAGCAGATACATGGCTGCGGTCTCTGAGGAGAACGCCGGAGCGGTGCCGGTCAGCCACACCAGTTAACCCGGCAGGTGCTGCAGGGTAGTTCGACACACACCACTTCCTGGCGGGGGAGGGCCCAGCCGATAGCTCGAGAACCAATGGGCACAGTGAAATGGGCTAGGCGGCAAACAAAAGAATGCAACAAGACGCTTCTGATGAGTGCTCTTAAGGTGAACTTCGGGGTAACAGGTCGGGTCAAGGTCAGGTCAAACACCTGAAATTTAAGTGTCGGTCAGGGCTAAGGTCAGGTCAATCAGACAGCAACATACCCCCGAAAATCAAAGCTGGCATTTGCCGCCTGCTGGCAGTTTTATGGGTAGCTTTAGACGTAGAGCTCGATAGCGTCGTCCATTTTATCATGCCACTTGTTCGTTTGTGGCCATTTGATATTACGCTGTATTAGAAGTCCGCATGTGACTGTGACCGCATTTTCGTATCTTTTTATATGATTTTTACGTATGCCGTTTTTGGTGGGAAGCTCAGACATCATGACGTCACTAAAATCTCGACATTTAAAAAATAACCGATTTTGTTAATTTTGTTACAAAATAGGTGCTTCAATCAATTTCCTACAAAGCTATAGTGAGGCGGAAAAAGTAGGGACGTTTAACAACCCCCCCCCCCCCCCAGCAGGTCGTGGGCTAATGGCGCTGCGGCTGAAATGTTATCACGACTCAAAGCCGGTGCGTCAGTTTACTCGTATAAAAGCATTGAGTTGGCACCAATGTTGGCCGATGGGTGAAAATTCTGAAAATCGCAGAAAAATCGTGATATTTTTTGCCTTTGGTGACCCCCATTGACCTCAACAATGGCCTCAGAGGTCATTATTATAAATCGAAATGATCGAAAAATGATCGCAGTAATTCTGAAAGATCGTATAGCGAGCGATGTATTGCTTTTGTCGGGCCTTCATAGCTTTCTTACTTTCCGAGATAACTAGGTGTGACCAAATACCACGCCGAAGTTGGCTAAGAGGCCCGCCACACAGGAAAGGATCTACGATTCTGCTGTATTATCACAAGTAACTCAGCTTTCCTCTACGCTTCATTGTGGTTTATATATGAAAAAGCACGAGGAGACGATCCGTGTAACGCTGGTTCGGGGTCAAACGCCTTAACGTTCGCTTCTTAGATACCTATGCATCATCCTTTTAAACACCTTGATTAACCCACGCCCCATAGGGCAATTGCCGGCCCCTGCCACCGTTGGGGGGAGGGGAGGGGTGAATCGTCCCCCCCCCCCCCCGCCAAGATCTCGGAAAGTCACCGGCCGATTTTCGAAATTCAAACGGCGTTAAATAGCCCCACCATGGGACTACCCTGTGGCCAAATTTCATCGACCTAGGTTCAACTGATGACGTCACAGATCAGGTCAAAGGCAGCATTTCGGACTGTTTACAGGCCTTCTAAGAAATATGTTATAACACCGAGTAAAAGGCATGTTATCGAAAATCATCGATAGAATATTGTTTTTTTTCTAATACATATTTGGCTAAATGAGGTCACTGATACCAAGTAAGGCCACAGGTTAGGGCACTAAGGGTCACGATATGAGCCCAACTATATTAGGGTCATGCGATGCGTGTTTTTATGGTCAATTTTACATTTCAAGTTCAATGATTTGGGTCAAGTGACCATTGGGGCCAGTTAAGGTCTCGTTCTGGTGGAGGTCAGGTCAGGTCAAGGTCAGGTAAAAAGGTCAGATTTCAAACTTGATATTGTTGCATAAAAAGGGACATTGATTTGATGCAGCTCGTCACGGGGAATCCAATGGTGGTCTTAGTTTTACGCTACGTGGTCTAGAACGGCTTCAAAAAATGACATGAGCTTAGAAATTTGACGTCATTTAATTTTGAGTTTTTTTTGGTATAGGTAAATGCCAAAAATGGAGCTATTGATATCAAATTTGGTATGTTGATGGATAATCTCAAGCTCTATAACATATTCATTATTCATTATAGCATGTGCTCTCTATATTATACATGTATCTGTTTTTACGTTTTCAAAAAAGGCATTTTGTGGGTATTATAACAAAAAGACGTTTTCGATTTTGAGGGGTCAAACCCAAAAAATTTCAAACATCCGAGATAGCACTTTTATAGCACTATTAATTTTACAACTTTCTGTATATACATTTTTCGCTAGCTTCAAAACTGTAGGCGTGACAACTCCTCCCGTAAAACCTTTTTTGTCGAAAATGGTAGAACATGACGTCATCCTTGCGTCATTTTTGGCCAACCTGGCATAGCCTCTTGACTAATTTTTGGCCGCAGGGTGTAAAATTTATGCCTGGAGGGGTCCTGAAAGTCTTGTGACGATATCTCCTATACTTTAGGAGATATCGACAGGAAAGGAGAGGGGGCGTTTCGCCTTCCACCTGCGGGGCGCGGGATTGGGCTCCAGCAGGTAGGCATCCTTCTTACCGAAGCAGGGTCATCTCACCGGTTTGTGTGCTGTTTGATCAGCGGACGCCGATTCCTGTGCGAGTCTGTCGGAATATCTGGGCAGTGCGCGTCCTGGCCCTGCACTGTTGCACCTTGCGTGGCCGGTATACAGCCGTACTGGCGGGCCGGACCGCTTATATAGCCGGTTGAGGTGCGCGGTACGGGGAGTGTTTCCGCCCGGCCCCATGGCAGCGGCGGCGGCGGCAGCGGCGCGCTGTCCGACCCTGACGTCACCGGCGCGAGAGGGTGGCGGTGGCGCCGAGCAGGATGCGCCGCCGGCGCGCGCTGACCGCTCCATCGGGCGGACACTGAGGGCCATTGGTGCCGCCGGCCGGTCGACAGACCGATGTGCCGGCTGAGATACGGCCATCCTGCTCGGTATGTCTCTCCGCAGGGGAAGGTGGTGGCTTCCAATTACCCGGTCGTAAGGGATTCGCTGCCGGATCATTAAACCGAGCTAGTTAAGGTGAAGCCGCTTCTGCTGGTATCGTGTCCTCTCAGGAATGGTTAGCATCCCCTTAGATTGCAATTTAGATTCCCATCGGTGCAGCTTTGGTCAGATTTGCATGGTAACTTGCTGATTACAATCATCAACCCGGCCGGGCCCGGGGGGTAATCCCAACCACCGCAGCCCGGGAGGGGCGTTTTTCACCCCCCCCCCCCCGTCTAACTCTGTAAGTAAGGGAGCTACGGAAACAAAAGCGGTAGCAAACGAAAGGTATCTACGAGCCGATTATAAAGCACCTAAAATTTTTAACATCAGGTCGATTTTCAAGGTCAGAGGTCAAGGTCAAAGGCAAAAACCGGCAAAAGTGTAGTACGGCCATCCTGCATTCCTCTCAAAGAAAGCGTTCTAGAGGAGGGCAGGATGCATGAAACCGGGTAAAAATGGATATCAAACGAAAAAAGAGAATCGGAGGATTTCGAAAATGTGCTCCAAAGCAAAGGTCAAGTTCAAGGTCATGCTCAGAATTGACGTTTAACTTTTCACTTTTGCGAACATCTTGCGTACTACATTCCAAGATGCTTTGAAATGTTTTGAGTCCCTAATTGTGGTTTTATGGTTATCTTACGATACAAGGCTGAGCTTCAAGGCTGCTCCTTGCTAGAGGCTACTTCATTGATTCAAGTTAGTAATGATAATAAAGACAATTTTGCCATCCAGAGGCTCTAAATGAACGATTAGAAGAAAATAGATGCCAGATTCGTGATCAGCGGCTACAAATCCATCAGAAAAGACCTCTCATATGTAAAGGTCAAACAAAGGTCATTCGAGGTCACATGAGGTCAACATAAAAGTTGATATTTTCCAAACAAATTTACATCATTCGACGTGGCTTTACAAGGCGAAGCGTTGGTATGGTACCACTGCCGTAGCTCCAGGGCCATTGTTGTTGAAGTTATTTGCGAAAAACTATAACCCCAGGCTCGGGGCCGTTGACCTGACCTCTGATCACAGGTCACCAAAACTATTTTTGTATTTTTTCTAAGTCAAACGCTATACAACCGTACTCGTAATTTGTCTTTATCTCTAAAACTCTATTTTTGGCAGCTATTTGAAGTTCACGTCTGTGACGCCGAAATCTGCCGTGCAGGGGTCGAGAAAAATGGACCATGTGACGTAATCAAGAGGGCTAGGTCCAATTTTTTTTCTTCAGAAGATGTCAAATTGATGGGAGAAAAAGGTGCTAAAGGTTTCGCTTTGCTACTCCTAAGCGTTCGGGAGAGCGCTTAGGCGAATAGGTATATCGCAAATATTCGCCAGGGAGGGGGGGGGGGGCGAAAACGCACCTCCCCGGGACCGTGAGGGTTAATGAATGTTGGTTGTAAACAAATCATAGGTATCCTTCCCCGTTGGCATAGGCATTTTGATCATGGAAATATTTGAATGAAGAGTTTTCCGCAGGGGCGGCGCCACGGGTTTTCGATAGGGGGGGGGGACGGGGACGGGGGCTTGCCTGACCGAAAATCCCAAAAGTAGATACTGATCGTGTATGCAAAAAAAAAGACGAGGCACGTAACGCCGCGAAACTTGGCAAAGCCCAAAACACATCGAATGGTGCATCCCGTTTCCAAACTTATCCTAGGACACCTAAGATCGATCACCTTTTCAAGCATCCTTGCCTCTAAATCAAAATTTGCAGTCTTGCCAACTCAAAGCTGGTTTCTTACAAGCTGCGAATTGCTTAGGTATGAGTAGCAGTGCCAACTATTCTTACGTTTCGTACTTTCAAATTTTCGATCTTACGTCTGGTCAGCTTCAGGGCTTCACCATCATATAGTCATGGAGGAAAAGTGGGAATGTCTTCTGCTCTGACAAGTGCGCCAAAACTGCAATATAATTTCAGAATCATGACATCACCACCTGATCCATATGCAACGGGCAGGGTGCAGCTAATGGCTAGCCGTCAGTGGTCATGTCATCGGTTGTCACTCAAAAGGCCATGCTAGGTCATGGAAGGTCACCAGCCGTTATTTGATCACACTTTCTGATGGATTTTATGCTTACCAAGAGCTTCGCGGGAAAAACGAGCGCATGCACCGTTGAAAAAAATTGAGTGAAAGGGTCTCAGGTCCGGCGGCCTCTGCAGATGAAATGCCCCAGGGTAGGATTCCGGTCCTTGTTGATTAACTTCGTGAAAATGGCAGTAGAGCTGTGATGTCGGCACCATTGTGTTCGTCATGATCGAGCTGGCACGACCTGCATCGTTCTCATATTCACCGTCCAATCGTAACAACTACAGCAGGGATTGGCAAATGGCGGGGCACCCCCTTTGGGAGGTAATGAAGGTCTCTGGAAACCTCATCCCTCATCTCTTAAGCATTAGTGGCTCTCCTTATGGAACAGGTTTCTTGACTGGTCTGTTTCACCCCAGAATTCAAAGACTAGTCAAGGTAAAACCGAGCGCACCACAGTGAGCACAATTTGATAAGCTGGTATATCTCAATTTTCATGTAGAACCTTTCACGTATCACGTACCTAAAACCCTTTCGTGCACTCATGCAAAAGCAACTGCCATGTTTCAACAGCTGGTAATGGCATTTTCACAGCCGCTGACGTAAGGAGGGGGGGGGGGGGGCTCGATTAGACCCCCAGCCGTTCGGCCGCCGACCGAACTTAAATTTGCAGAAAAAAAACGAGTGCTATCGAACCCCTTGACGAGAGGGAGCCGATGCTACCCAAATATAAGGTCTTGGGCTACTGCGTGCTTTTTTGGTCCTGCCTGTGATCTATCCGAACGCTTCTCCCCACAAGTGCTGGGGTTAAATGGCATATATTTCAAATGGTTCCTGTGGTAGAACTGCCATGCTTGAATTTGACTAATTAGGAATGGAAAATATCCATATAGTAACGGAAATCTATGGAATTTCAGTAAACTTGGTTTTGTCGGCAATGGGGTCTGGCAGTGGGGTGGGGAGGTAATAACCCTGCCTGGCGCCCCCAAAAAGGGGGGGGGGCACGATCCCCGAGGCCCTGCCGATCACCTTATAACTACAGGCATCACAGCTCCACACCTTTTGCAGATGGCCAGGACCCCCTGCGATCAGTGTCAGAAAAGTGGTTTGGGGATCTAAGTTCACGGAACAAAATTTTTGGCTGCTCACGGAACAAAAATCCTGAAGTAAGGCACTGTAGGGCCATGCGTATTGTTATAGGTACGCTTTAAGTATAAAGATATTTGCCAGAGTCTCAGTCAGAAACAGCAGCTTCTACATATAAAATAAGGGTTCAAGGAGCGCAGCAGGTTGTGGTCTTACAGCCCAAGTGTTAGACTTATTTATAACTAGTTAGGAAATCTGGACATGTAGGTAATGGATTACCACTGATGCTCAAAATTATTCATGATGGAAAATATACAAATTATTATTAATATTGTGAATGAAGTGAGAAAAATGAATGGGGTATAAAATATACACAACATCCAGAATATGTTTTTCATGCCACATTTTTACATGAAACAAAAACTGCTGAGTATATTGAAATACTATTTGAAATACATTAAACCAACGTCAAAAGATAACCAAGTGGACTGGTACCTACCTACCTATATAGTATCACTTATCAGTATAAATGACCTTTTACCTACCTACCTATCTAATACAAGTTTGACAAATTTGACGCAATCCAGCTTGAAACAAATAACGAACCACAAAGACACAAAAACATGCCAGCACTTTTAGTAAAAGGTCTTGTGCAAGACAACCCCCCAAAAAAACATGCCACATATGATTATTGATTATAATCAATAATAGATAATTGTCCACGCGCTTACCCAAACGGACGCCTCGCACCTCGAGCCGCCTTGAGAAATGGCGCGGAGGCCCGCGTTGGCGAGGGAAATTAGAGGAAAGGGATTTCCTCTTTACTGGTTTTCAATTTGATAAAATTGGTTCAAATTATAGAATACTTCAAAATAGCATATAAAATGCAAAAACAATCTAAAATAAATGTATATTTGACCTCAAGCTGGCTGCTTCATTCCAAATAATATATCAAAAAGCAAAGGGATTTTATGCCCTAGACAAACATTACTTCATGTAAAAGTGATATCAGCATATGTCGGTATTATACCTGTAATCGGCATCAACTGGGAAATAATTTTATGCTATGCAAACCGCCGTCTCTCAACGATTCTAACGGTACCCAATTTTATATGAAATATTGTCGGAATTGCTTAAACGTTCCAAATTCAGTGAGTTGTTCCGTGACGAAACATGGTCACGGCGTTTCGATAAAACTATATGAAAACGTCTATAAAAATATAAAAATTTGGCATAGAAACAATCAGAATTGAACAATCTACGATGCCATACCAAATTTGAACCGATTGCAAGCCTATTTCGACCTTTATTCTACCCTTACTTTTGTTCCGTGTCACGGAACAAGAATATCATAAATTGAGAAATGCACTGCCATTGAAATGCCGTTATGAGGATATGGCAGCCTCACTGAAAGGTCGAAAGCGACCGTCTTCGACAAATAATGCGCATCACGGTCAAAAGCAGTGTTTAATTGTTCTTGATATCAGCTTTTCCTGCATAAAGATCATTTTCTGCCCAATAGTGGACGAGAAAGCAGGAAATCGATGGTT